ATAGTGTAAGTAGTTTAAAAAATCAAGTAAACATTTGTTTACATTATTCTAAGCATAATATTTTCAGTTATATCATAAATTAAAGGCATCACTCTTGTAATGTATTTAAGTTTTAAAATGGAAAAATGTCTCTCAGAAGATTTATAAGCTTTTTTTACTCATAAAGGGATGAAAAACACAAAAAATACAAAAGAAAATGTATTCACAAATATAACTAAACAAGTAAAACATAGACAAATAAAAGTAATCAATGGGATATCTGTAAGTGACGTAGGTCCATCCTGATTGGCTGTTGATACGTGGTATTTGCTTATGTTAGCTACTGGTTTTTCTTAATTTTATTTCGAGAACAAAGATTTTTTCACAAGGATTTAAGTTCCTTCACCACGCATTTCTTACTTGACACAGACATCAGGCAATGTAGAACGTAAACAAACTAATTATGCATCGAAGTTGCTGACAGAAATAAGACAAAACAAACAAATAACAATACACAAAATATATTTGGGGGGGGGGCAACAAAAATCTATCATGGTTACAAGAAAATACATAAACAAATAATAAATCTACGTTTAGTAAAAGACGCAGACGAGAAAGAATTATGTTTTAATAAATTCGATGTGAGATACGTACTGTATTTGATCAACTTCACGTTAAATAACATTCTAACTCATGTGGAAAAACTTAGCTCAACTTTACTACGCCATTTTGCTAATAAACGATCAGCTGGCAACGGCGTCATAGGTAACATGTGTGGGTATCCGTGATCTTCTTCTTCTTGAAGTGCAAGTACCCAATAAGAAAAACAGATGGGGAAGCGTTACATTTTTAAATTGGATGAAAGTTCTCTAGCCTCCCAATAATGGGAAGTAGATAGATCCTTTCTTCTATCCCGGGAAGTGAGGGATGCTACCCACAGTCATTAGCATGTAATCACAACGTTGAGGGCAAGCAGGGCTGTTGGCGATCTGAAGTCGATAATCTTGATCACAAAAACAATCGTGTAATCAAAAAGCAATGACCGCTCTGTAACTATGATAGTTCGGAAGATTAAGGAAAGTGCTACTCCGGAGGATTCTCCCTAATCTTTGTTTTAGCTTGGATATATGTAAATCTCTTTCTGCCAAATTGATTCTTGAGGCAACAGATCCATAGCAAACTTCCGCAAAAGGAGTTTGTTAGATGGTACACCCATTTTTGGCTAACTTATCTAAAGAGTGTCTCAAAATTAAAGCAAGGCATTAATTAAATAGAAAACTGATTATTTAGTGCTGGCGACCAAGAAAAAAGTTACACAGCTGACAGTTTAGGGTTTGTAAAAATGCAGCACTAAAATTAAGAACAACGCGTTTTCATTGTTGAAAATCCTGAAACAATCCAATTACTACATGCGACATTCCCCGATCGCAAGCTGTTAAGAAGAGGTTAACTGAAGTTATAATTGTATGCCTACGAACTCCCACGTCCAAACCATGCATTGAAGGTAAAAATTCAACGTAGCATCTACGAAATTTAGCCAACTTCATGAAAAATTGTCATGGAAAATTTTAATAAATGAGTGAGCATATGCCAGAAAAGCCGTGGAAATAATTTTCCCGATAAGCTCAATTTTCCCGATTCCATACATAACCATATCCTATGTACTTTAGGTTTGAATAAAAAATCTATATAATTGAGGAAAAAAAGACTGTTTCATTCAAATTATTGATCTATTTAATTCTAATCTTCTGCATATTTTGGGACAACTATTATTTTCAGGCATACCACAATGGAACGACATTCACTGCACGACAACAACTTGGCACTTTTAGCATAGATCATACATAGGGGAAGAAGAGCAGCTTCCGTAGACATAATGTAAACCAGGCCTCCATGGTTTGGTGTGATCCCTGTGGGTAAGGGAAAAAGCAAAATTTAGGGAAGCGTAGCATAAATTCTTGAAACTGGTTTTCACCCTCACAACCATTGCTGAGGTTGGAGAGAAGAGCCCAATTCAAACTTTTAATAAAAAAAACAGATGAAAAAATGCCAAATGCAATATACTATAACAAAAGGTAAAGCAAAACAAATAAATGACTCAATCGTTTCAGAAGAGTTTGATTTTAACTATTCATAGAAGTTGTTTCATTAATTATATAATGATAAAATGAAAAATAACAGTAAATGATAAAGTAATAAACACAGGCGTTTACGCTGTTAAAAAAAAAGAACCTTTTTACTGAGATCTTTTTTGCAAATGACACTATTAAAGCTACCTTATAAATGAGCTTTTTTTTTACTTTAGGAATTAGTTTATCTTATTAATTAATCTATCTTATAAATGAGTTTAGCTTTCAGAATATATGCCTGAATCACGTAAATTTTTTTTTAATTTTCGTGTTTTGGTTATTTATTTATACCATGAGTAAAAACTAAAATAACACTTTAACCACAGAATATATTCCCACAGTGCTAATTAATGAATTATTCATCAAATTAGTACTTCCGTTGACCTTTTACGAACAGTAGAAGTAAGATGTGAAGGATGTTTTCAATAAAATTGATGAGTAGTAATCCCAAAAGAGAAATCTGTTTTCTTGCTATGAAAGATTATGATTTCTGTCTTTTAGGGCACTTTTTTTAGCTATTATAAATGATAAATACATTTTCAAGATGGTGGAAGTAGTTTTGAGAATTTTTGTCTTGAAATAATTAAGTACAACCATTTAAAAAAATTGTCAAAACATTATTTTGATGCAACAGAATTCCCATAAAAGGAAATGAATATACAAAGGACTACTAATGTAGTTTTTTTAATAATACTTCTCGAAATTTATGCCATTTTTAATAAAGTAGAGAAATTCTTGTAAATAAGTTTGGCTTTTTCGAGTCATAAATGGCTAAATAGCTTTTAAAACATATTTGCCCATAACAGGGTGACTAGAAATGCCGGGTGCCGGCCAGGAGGCCGAGCTGTCAGTGTGCCTGACTGTGAAGCCAGTGGCTGCGGGTTCGAATCCCGCTCAGAACATGGATGTTTCCCTCTCTGTGTGTTGTTCTCTGTTGAGTGATGTGCGAATGTGGCCCACCCTATAAACGGGTATTTGTTGCTCAGTGGCGTGGGTAATGTTGCTCACCTTCATTTAGGTTCACAAGTGCCCACTAGGTAACGCTAAATGAGCAACACTTCCGGCAACTTTCGAGGTGAAAAACGAAAGTTCAGTGCCTGCCGTTAAAAAAAAAGGAAATATCAGGTCATTAAAAATCTACATATGATTTAAAAAAAAACAAACAAAAAAAAAACAATGAATAAAAAATGGGGGAAAATAGAAATGTATAGTTAAAAGCGTTCTACTGAGAAAACCAGATAATTCAATCTCACCGAATTCCAATTTTCTTCTAAAATGACGTTACTGTCTGAGAAAAACTATAGAACAATATTTTTGAAATAACCATTATTTGCAGCTACTACGTGATGCATCTTGAGGAAAATAAAATAACACAATGGTGTAACATGCAAACTAAAATATTGTTTCATATTTTGTTCTGTCAGCAGCGCGATATCTAGATGAACTTTGATATTGATATTGAGGCTTATTAAAAATAAATCCCTAAGCGAAAACAGCAAACTAAAAATATCTGACATTTCCATTTGTCTTTAATTGATTTTTTCAAATAGTTGGTCATTGGATACCCAGTAACTTGGGCGCATATAATACTAAATTTTTAAAGCTAACAAAACTGAAGTTTCGAATAATTATAAAAGTATTTTTATGGCTACCCATTTTTACAAATTGGCTGCTTCCGGTCTCACTGCAAAACCAACAGCAACAGACCTACTGATATTTTGTCCTCTTCTGTGTATCAGACAATTTTTAGGGATGTGAAATCATTAGCACAAACCGCGTCTTCAAAATGGAACAAATGAATCATTTCAGTGATTTAGTTTGGGGAAGACGCTGGCACCTCTTATGCTATACAAAAATTAGTATAATAATGTGCCGGACGATTGAATTTGATCAGTTCTTGAGTGCATTTATAAATCTGTTTGCCACAACAAAATTTTATTAAAATGAAAATTGATTAAACAAAATTGTATTATTTAAAAAAGAAATAATAACTTATGCAATCAAAGAGGCATAATATCTTTCAATGTGAGTTTGACATAGTTAGATCCATTTATAGCTGAGTCATAATTTTCTCTAAGGAAATGAATCAGTTAATTTATAATAATGAACTATATAAATGATAACAAAATTTTATTTAAATAATAAATGTAATTAAAAAATTTATGAACTCAAGCACCAACAGAGCATAGCAGGCATGCGCTTGTTTTGATTTCAGCAGAATAATAAAAACAAACGGATTACATTAAATCGAAAGGCGCTTAGCCCCAAACAGTAAGTTGACGCCAGACAGATACACAGTGTGATAAATATATTTGATTTCAAATATAGTCAAAGTTATTTTTCCTCTAGATTTATTTGTTTAACTACAATATTATATTACTTTTTATTTGATAGCATATTTCGATGGAAATTTTAATTTGAAAGAAAATAGCAAATTTTTATAAAAATTAAGCAAATATGAAATATTTATAAGTTAAAAAAGGACAGACAATATTCTAAATACTTTGACCATAAAATTATGCCTTTTTATGAAAGCGAACCAGTAATACTGTGATAAAATTTACACGTTTCTAATTAAACTATGTTATAATACGTTATCGGACAAATTAATTAAAAAACAAAAAATATTTTTCAATCTGCACAATCCTTGTGTTTGCGAATAACTTTCGCCCATTTTCCAATAATTTTATAAAGTGAAAGAAAGATCACATTTCAAAAACAGTGATAAGTATTACACCAGGTGAAAATATTCTCACATTTTAAAAATTATTGGTAGAGGTGATGCTTTCCTTATCAATCTAATATTTATTCTATACATCAACTGCGATTAACGTTTTCACTCAAAAGAGGAAGATGAGTATAAAATCAAAATTCGGATGGCAGGTAGTATGACTTAATATTTATGGCAGGATTATAAACTTTAAAAGCATTTTCATACTTATTAGTGGCTAGTTAGTCTAAGCTCTAATTTTTATTAGATAATCTAATAAATTTTCTGATAGTTAGTACCTACATAATATCATTTTTAATTTACTGATAATCTGAAATTGTATGGGAAAATTAGTTTCAGTAGTGCAGGTATGATGGTTTACTGAAGGCTGCTTGTTTGTTTGATAACCTTTATTGTTTTGTAGTTATTGACATCAGACGCTACCTTCTGGCTGTTTGGTTTTCTTAACGGCTGTTTAGTTTACTAATTTACTCCTGATTACGCCGTCTTGAATGTTAATAAAATGAAGTTTAAAAAAAGCTTCTGTAGAAGATGATTTTGTACTTTTAATTATACAATATAAAGAAATTATGGATACATGTGAGACAAACACAATGTTTTAGTTGCTACTCATAATATTTATAATTGTGTTAAATAAATGTTAATTAGTCACATTAATAAGTAATTGTATATTTAGTTATTAAAGAATTCATGGTCAAATTAAATAAAGATTGCTAGCTGCTTGCAATGAGTTGTTCTGATTGGGTTGTTGGATCAATCTTTAAAATTATATATTTTTAAACTACATGATTGACACTCTAACTTCAACTATACAATTAAACTATATAATAAACTATATAATTGGCACTTGTTGTCCCCTGTTATAATTGTTGGCCCCTGTTTCAGGGGCACCATATTAGGTGGGCCAACGTTGCTCTCACAATAAGAATAGATAGTGCAGGGAATGAAGGAACATCTATGCCTTGTCCAGGATTTGAACTCAGGACCTTTCTGATGTGAGGTCAGCTCTTTGGCCATAGCACAGTCCGGTCGGCTTTAAAAACTAGATTGTGGCAAATATTCTGCAAGTTTTTCGAGAAGTGCAATCTCATGCTGATGTATCGAATTTATAGAAAGCATAAAGGGGCTATTAAATCTATCATTAGATAATCATCTCATCATTGGATAATTGGGTACTTGCAATTTAAGAAGAAGAAGATCACTTGTACCCACACGTGTGACCTATGACGTTAGTGCCAGCCAATCGTTTGTAATCAAAATGGCAATTTAAAGTTGAGCTAAGTTTCTTTTTGTGAGTGAAATTGTTAATTAAAGTGAAGTTAATTAAATACAGTGCCATATAGCATATCGAATTTGTTGAAATATAATTCTTTTTCGTCTGCGCATTATTTGTTTATGTATTTTATTGTAACCGAGATATATTGTAACCGAGATATATAGACCTGGCAACTTCGATGCATACTTATTTTCGTTTCGTTCTACATGGTTTCGAGCCTATCTTTGTGTTAAATTGGAAATATAAAGTGAAAGAATTAAAATCTTTGCGAAATAATCTTTGTAACAGAATATAGTATGTCTCACTTAAGAGAATTGTCACTTGGCATACTCAAAATAGAATGGAAGGAACAGTTGCTAACGTAAACAAATGCCACGTATCTACAACCAATCAGGATCGAGATACCCACATTACATCTCCTGCAGGTATCCCATTATTTTATAATCACCCTTCAGATTACAAAAAAAGGAAAGAGAAGAGAAAAATACTTATGTCTTAAACTATAATTTCTTCAATGGTTATTACCTAGAACAAATACAAGAAGTCCAATTGAAATAAAACCAAGTAACGATGAGATTTTACGAGATTCTACAAGAACACTCATACATGCTTCAATGTTTAATGCGGTTCTATGCCGAAGCCACCTTGCAATGAGCTTAAAAGGGTAACTGCAATAAGCCTAACAAGTGCCGTTGACACATTGTAAAAAGCTTGAATTTTCCATTCAGCTTACGTCATACAACCGTTTTTTTTAAAATCTTTAATGAGTTTTTTTATATTAATTCTTTGCCTAAAATCTCTTTATTTATCCATTATTCAGAACCAAATTCTATTAGCATCATTAAAAATTTATTTCCTATGAAAAAACTACATTTAGATAAAAAGATTATCATTTTTTAGGAATAAGTCTAAGAAACATTTTTTCCTTCAGGAAGTGTGGGTAGTTTTTCTGGAAGGGGTGAAACCACACTAGCTTCAGGAAGTGTGGGTTCCACAACGATAAGAAAAATTCAAATGCATTAATTTCCCCTGCTTTATTGCATAGTTATGACAAAATTAAGTAACTTGCAATATTTTTTTATTAAATGATTCATTTTATGAAAAGGGAAGTGCTCAAGAACTTTTTCGATTTTAAGCTTAGTTGATTTTATTTAATAATAAAATGCCTAAATAATGAATTGTTTGTTCAAGTACTACGCACCCCTGATAAAGCCAAGAAGAAAAGAAAAAAAAGTAGTTGGTGAAATTGGCGCTTAATTAACCGAATTATACTGATTGGTTTAAAATAAATAAGTAATTAAAATAATAAATAATTAAAATAAATAATTGGAAATCATTATTTAACAGACAGCCCATGCTAAAGTAATGAAACTTCCGCTGCGTTTTTCATTAACAACGCTGCGTAACGTCATCGAAAAAAGCAATGCCCTCGCAATGTAAGATGGATATCATCTTGAGGTTAAAAATCGAGCTCTTTACTAACAGGTTTAAGATAATTAACTCAGTTTAGCTGAAACAGCAGAGAAATGTACAAAGACTTTTCACTTTATAAGTAAAGTATACAAAAAGGCGATGCGCTTTTTCTTAAATGCAATTCAAAATTTCAATACTTACCCAAAGGGTTTCAGCACCACACTGAGACAAAAAACCCAACTTCTATTTAGACTGCTGAGTTTATCCTTTTATTGTATTATTTTTTATTGACTTTACTAAATTCTCTGCAATTGTTTGATTATTTGTGATATTTTGATTCCATGAAATGTTTAGAGGTTAACTTTTTTAAAGATGTATGTTAATGAAGACGAAAGTACATTTTGTAAAGTAAATTAAAATTTATTTTAAATATTTTAATTTCTGTTTATTTCCTGCGCTCTTAAATTTTATATAAAATAATATAAATTTTTAATTTATTTTTACGACGTAACGATGAATATCTTTTTTATTTAGGTACTTATCTCAATATTTATTATACTTCTGAAATTACATTGTTCTGAATCAAATCCAGCACCTCTTTATAATTGTGTGAACTTAGATGGAGGACTTACCTGCCATTCTTCTGATCCTAATCCATACAGGAATTATGGTTCAGAAACAGCATATCCTGCAGTACATAAAGATTATACAAAAACATATGACTTAAAAGGTTAGTTAAAATTTTATCCAAGATCTGAAATCCCGTTTATCAAGTAAAAAGATTCAATGACATCTCAGCAATTAAACGATAATTTAGTTTAAATTTTTTTAATAGTATTATTATGTCTAACATTAAGGATAATTTATTTTATTTGTTATAATTATTTATTTTTCAATCGTTATAATTATTTAATTATCCATTAAATTAATGTATTTATTCGTTTGTTTCAAATTTTACATGATATATTTTATTAAGTAAGTAGAGCAAATATGTTTCGTCTTTTATTTTCAAATTAGTGGTTAATTATCAATAGTGGTTAATTACATTAAATATATTCACATAAAAGAAATGAAAATAAACTACAAATATTGTTTTTAGCTTAAACAATTTTTTTATTAAAAATATTTAAAAATAGATTTTAATTGCATTTAAATATTTGAGTTTTTTTGCTACTGGAATTGAAAATAAACTAATGTAACATATAAAATATTTTTCAACTGAATAAATTCAAAAATTTTACGTTTTATTAAGGTGATCTAATTCCTATTTGAATTCTTAGTTTTTTTTATTTTTATTATTTTAAATATTTCATACATTACTGTAAAATTTCGGAACTGTGCAAAATGAGTTTTTTACCTTTAATAATCAGAATTTGAATGCGATTTTTCAAAGAAATATCCATTAATAGCAGAATAAACCATAATTTATTTGCTTCCTTTTGTCTTATTTAATAAAAGAATAATGTGTCCATTTCAATAAACTGATGATTATGTCAAGTATTTTCCTCTTTAAAGATATGTTATTAACATTAGTACTTATTAATAAAATTGATATCGTCTTTTGTCTTAGTAATTGTGTAGTTGTAGCAGATTATAAAATATGAAACGAGAAAGTTTTAATTTATATATAAGGTATTATTTTCCCTGAATGAAATGAAAGCGAAATATGTAATTTCAGGGAAAAGAATTAAAAGGAATAAATAGAGAGTATCTAAGTTATCGTCAAGAATATAAAAATATTAATCAATATATAGTAACGTTTAAGAATAGAAACTCCGTATTTCTGTATTGAGAGTTGCGGTTGCAAAAGAGTTGCAGTTACAAAAAGGCGGCTTGCCGCTGCTTATGCTACGTATACAAGGCTTTAGCGGTTTTACGCTACGTATACAAGGCAGATTATAAATATACCTGATATCATTATGTAGAAACTTATAATAACTAAGTTTGTAAGAACCTGTTTAAAAGTATTTGATAGTCCAACTAACTCCCTGGCATTACAGTCCATGTTGGACTATGGCCTCACTAACAATTTTCCTCCAAAGTCGCCTGTCTGTAGCTCTTTGTTTCCAGTTTCGAACTTTTAGAGTCTTAAGGTCTTCTTCCACCTCGTCTAACCATCTCTTGGCCAGCCTTCCTCTTTTCCTTTGGCCCTGGCCCTGGCACTGCCCCTTGAATATCTTCTTAGTGCCTCCGTTTTCCTCCATTCTCTCAAGGAGTCCTAGCCATTGAATTCTCTTTGCCTTTACATAATTTATTATATCTTTTTCTTTAAATAGTCTTGCAATTTCAAAATTGTATCGCCTTCTCCACAGATCACCCTCTTTGACAGGTCCAAAAATAGTTCCAAGAATTTTTCTCTCCCAGGTAATCAGCATTTTTCTTGTTTCTGGGTTGGAGTCCACGTCTCTGATCCATAGATAACGGTTGGTCTGATTATCGTTTTTAAACCTGAAGCTTTGTTTTCCTCGTTATTACTTTTGAAGTTAGCAATTTCTTAAGTGCAAAATAACTGCGATTTCCAGCATTTAGTCTTTGCTTGATCTCTGGCATAATATCATTGTTTTCAGTGACAACTGAGCCCAAGTACTTAAATTCTCTAACTCTTTCAAATTTTGTCATTTCATTGATTTGTAGTTCTGTGTCCATATCCATTCCCTTACAATCCATTATCATATATTTGGTCTTATCACTATTTATTTCTAAACCAAAAAGACTAGCTTCATAGTCACTTTTCACACATTTGATGTTATAAAGATGCTGATAATACAATATTTAAATACATAAAAAGCTAATTTATTTTTTTGCTTTAGGTTGTACCCCAAAAGTATTTTATTTACTGAATAGACACGCTACAAGATATCCAGGAAAGGACTGCATTGAGTACATTAATGAGCGTTTGCCAATTTTAAAAGAAAAAATCATCTCTTCTTATCAAAACGGCCAAGGTATATTTATGAGTTTAAATGAAATATTTATGTAATTTAAAAAATAATTATATATTAAAAATTTTCTTCGGAAGAGAGTTTCGTAAAAATTTCAGCAATATTCATAATGGCATTAGATCAAGAAACATTTTTTTGCTGTTGTTAATAGCATTTTAAAATGTTCTAGTCCAACAGAAGGTACTTCGATTTTTATGTTACCTGTTTTAGGGTGCCATAATAATTTGAAAAAAATATTATTGGTTCCAGTGATGGCTTAGTAATTGTAGTGTGTGGTTAATACACACTGTAAAAAATTCCCGATCAACTTACAGTATAAAGTACAGGTAATTTGGGCGCATCAGCCGTAAAATCCATTTTAATGCATATTATTATATCGTCAGATTTTTTGTTCCATAACATGTTTCGGTAAAATTAGATTTTATGGTAAAAAATACCGGCACACTGAATGCCGATACTTATGCCGTATTTTGATCCGGAATTTCAAATAGTGTGGGTACCTAACCCATTGACTGTTCTGCAAAAAAAAAAAAGAAAAAAAAAAAAAAAAAAAAAAAAAAAAAAAAAAAAAAATCGTATTTTTTCCTGCAGTTTTTTCCGCAGAGCGAAACCGGTTTTTCCATGTTATTAGATAAGGAAATAGTGCATTAGGGAGAAAAATTCTCCCGATTTCTTCAATTTGCTAAACCGCCAGTGGGTTAATATACTTGACTGCCTTCTGCACAAACTGGTAACCATTACATTCGTAATAGTGAAAATGCTGCTGATATTAAGATTTTGCATTATAATTTTGAGCTATTTAGAATATTGTACATACTATGAAAGCCAAAAATAATCCTATAACTTTGTGAGTATCACGAAGAAACAATTAAATTTTAAAACATTTAAAGTATCATCGAAAAAATAATTTTGAAATTTGATCCAAAAGTATTAGATAAACAAGTAATATTTATTTAGTTTCTTACTTCTGAGGAAGATTTGTTTTCTGTAGGTAAAAACGCGCCTAACGACACTGAAACACTCCAGTGATACTTTTTAGTTTTTTTTCGTCAAAATCAGTTTATAACTCCATAACACCTATTGATTTCATTACCGTGAAAATGTAATATCTTTTGAATCCATATAAATAATTATGACACGTATGTCCTTTAACTTTACATTCAATGTAATGAAAATTCAAAACTAGTTAACTAACACACGAAATTAATATATAATGCTTCGAAAGAAAGGGAAGTTGGTTCTTGAAAAGTGTTTTCTTCGTTGTTTGTGATGAAATTTATAGATATATATAAGCGTTATTTATTGAAGTAGAATTTCTGTACCTATTTACTTTTTATTTTATCAGCTAAAATGTGCCAAGATGACATTAACAAATTAATGGACTGGTCACCTACACTGGCTGTGGAAGATGAACTAAGACTTTCTGCTACAGGTGCGGCAGAAGCAGAAGAGCTTGGTAATAGTTTCATTTCAAAAATATGTAGTTTCTAAATTTACAAATAACAAAGTTACAGAAAAACAAAGCTAATTTTAATTTTAATGTAGAAAAAAAAAAATGTAATTCTCAGACATGCAGTTTTTTTATGCTAAAAATAATAGTCCTGAATGTTGAACGAAATGTTTATTTATTTTGCAATGTCCAAGCCATTTTTAGTGATTATAATTATGTTTAAATTTTAACTGCGAGAGGAATCCTAAAATTAAAGCCTCCTATTAATTTAGAAATAAATTTTTATTTTTTATTTTTATATTGTGTAATTATATTGTGTAGATTATGTCGATTTTTTTCAACTTTTCTAGTTTGTTTATTCAGTATTTGATCTATCCTTGTTACTATTTTGATTCATTAATAACTTCAAAACCGTTGGTGCTAGGGTTCTAAAATTTGAATTTCGTCTATGAGGAGCAGTTTTAGCTCCCTATCCGACAAATCATTTAAAAATTTTAACTTTCTCATAAGCGAAAAACTTTTGAAAAATGATTCTTTCGCACTAGAGTCAACATTAGAGTCGTTGCCATAAATAAGATTGTGAATGATTCTGTTTAAGATATCATCGCTCATTCTTTAATGTTTAATTATTTTTTGCAAGTTAAGGCATCCATGCGAATGTCGCATGGATCAGTGCTATGCCACTGAATTAACATTTCTAAAGTCATCTTAAACCACGTGTTTATTTTGTTTATGATTGTGCTTCTAAAACGTATTTAAAGAAAAAAAGGCGCATTTTTTTAAAGATTTAATGACTCCTAATATGAAAAAGAATTAAAAAAAATAATTTAAAAAAAATTGAATGAACAAAAAACCTCTTTATTGATCTGCATGGAAACGCAATAAATAAAATATAACGTGCAACTTATAATAATTGAGTTTACATAGTCTCGGCTAATTTTCCAGCCCTTTTTTTCATTTTACATGAAGTTTATCTTAATGTTTGTAACAATAATTAATATAATAATTTCTCATAAATCTTTTTAAAAAAGTTGATGAAAAGTCGGGGTTTTCGAATTACAATAATTAATCTGAATAATCCATTGAATTTTCATCTACTTTCTTTGAAAATGCTGATTTAATGATAAGCCACATTTTAAATAATTCAGCAGGGCGTTTTCTTAATGTGCCTGAGGTTAAATCATCAAGATTTCCAGAAAGTAAATAAAAAATTTCATGTATTGGGTTATTACCCAGTAGGCAAAATTTTTAATTGAAGTATCTACATGGAAACAGTTCTAAAGAGCACCTTTAGAAAACAATTGCAGCATTACCCCTCTGACTTCAATTGCTATCTTGTTTAGAATTTTCAATAAACCATTCAGTTAACTTACGTTTTAATTGAGTTCTAAATTTAAGTAATATTTTTTATATTGCAGGTGAACGATTGCGACAAAGGTTTCCTGAGATTTTAGGAATGAAGTACTCTCCAGGAAGATTTATTATCGAATATACGGAAGAAGAAAGAACGAGAGATACTGCCCAAAATTTTAGTCGAGGATTGTTTACAGAACAAGATTGTAACTAGCAGTTTTAAGTAGTAGTAATTGTTAGTAGTAGAAATTAGTACTTATGAGAAGTAGTAAATAACAGTACTATTTGAAAATAGTAGCTAGAATTAGCAGTTTCTGTAATTTGAAGTAATAATTGCAAGTAGAAGTAAGTAAATATAGTAATTGTAAGTAGTAGTCAGTAATTATAATAATTGTAAGCAGTAGTCAGCAGTAATAATAATTGTAAGTAGTAGTGAGTAATAATAGTAACTGCAAGTGGAAGTGGTAATTATAAGTAATTGCAAGTAGTAATTAAAAGTAGTAACATTAATTACAGGCAATAGTAAATAGTAGTAGAATCACTGTATTCATGAAAAAAATCACACATAAAATAAAATTTGAAAACTATCCTACTTTCATACATTTATTACTGTTTAAATAATTATTTCTCTTCTTAGTGAATATATATGTAAAATGTATTTTTGATATACAAAAAGATAAAATGGTGAAGAGTTATTCCTAAATTTCACAACTTAATATCAATAAAACTATTTTACACAAGCAATATTCCGGTATCGTTTTTAAATATTTAATTTAGATACTTTAGATTAATATCATGATGTGTTAAAAATTCACAGGCTTTGTTTAATGATATTCACGGAAATTAAATTATTAGAAGAAACTGTAGCAAAAATATATACTTATGTATAGATTATTATACATTCATATTAAAAATATACATTATTACACATTTCATTGGCTTCAAAAAAGATTCTTATTACCATTTTCATATTTTTTGAAGCGAATGAGGATATTTAAGAAGTAGATAAATAAAATCCTTATTAGTATAAAAAATAATTATCAATATTAAAAAGTAATTAGTATCGAAATTACACATAAGAATGTTTGACATAGCATATGTTGCAATTTATGAAATTAGTCACGATACAGATTAAAAGTATTTGGACTAAAGAACAAGTGGAATACAACAGTTTTGTTTGAAGACCTAAATTGATTAATAAACTCTTTCAAAAATGTTATAAATTGTTTTTTTGTAAAAATAACAAAGAATTATTTCAGTAATATCAATATTTCGCTATATTAGGTTCTAGCTATATTTTTATAGAACAGTAAAAAACATATTTTTCCAGTTAGAATCAAATTCGCGCCCGCTTTAAGTAAGGCTAAATTCCTTATCTTCTGCAAAGAAGAAAATAGTACTTCCCTATTTGTTTTGAATTATATTTTGGAAGAGTACAAATAATATAAAAAATAAACATTTACAACTACTGATATTTTGAAGAACGTTAAATATAGATCTTGTGAGTTTGTTCAACTTATTGCTTAATTCTTTCTTTTACAGATGAAAAAGTGAAAGGGAAGATTAACCAGAAACTTATAAGATTTAATAAAGAGTGTAAAAAAATGATGGTAAGTTTCATTTTGTCAATTACAGAATTTAAAAAGTAAAAAAATCGTAAAAGTAAAAGGCAGGAAAATGAGAGGAAAAAAAAGACAACTACGAACAAAAAAATAGGAGCAACTTTTTTTCTAAATAAAAGCAAAAAATTAGATTTTATTGATGAAGCTGATCATAAGTAGCTTAAAAATTGGTTACTTTGAAATAGTATAGAATTTTTCTTTAGACCAAAAATAAGAGGGCCGGGATAGCCTGGTTGGCAGGAAGTTGGGCTCGTGTTCATAAGATCCTGAATTCGAGTCCCATCAGCCGAAGATTTCCCTCGTATTAGACGGTGACTGGGGCATGTTAAATCTGACGGGGTCACAAAGTCCTCCAAGTCCAAATGAATACCTCTGGGGCAACTGAATTGGAAATTGATCTTTCTCTGGTTCAGGTCAAAATTACGATCTGCAGAGGAATGAATGGAGAATGATTGAGACCTACCTGTTAAACAAGCTGTAACATATTCACGCTGAAGTCATGTTCATGGCCATAGATGGTGCCACTGTAAAACATTTAGCGAAACCTCTGCCTTAAGAATTCGCTAAAATTTCCTATAACAGGCTTGCTGGTATTGGAAAGTGGCATAGTAACAACAACAACAAATACAAACTTTAGAGTTTGGAGTTACAGTGTCAGAATTGAAAATATCTCACACTAGAAAGACTTGCATATAAAAGACTCTCTCTTAGCAGTTTCTGGGGAAATCTCCGTTGCTTATGTCCTTCTGCAGCTTCATTACAATTGCTCTCTCTTTCTCTCGAAGTAAAATTAATATTTTCAGCACATCATTAAAAATTATAGATCATCTAAAAAACAAAAATATAGCACATCATAACAGTATAGCTTATAATTATCGTGTAACTTACGTAAAACAATAAGCACAATGAAAATAAAAATAAGACAGTTTGTCTGTTTACATGAGCATCGGTATGAACTTCTCATATCTCTTGAACTTATTGTTCCGTTTGCTTCACTTTTTGTTACTAACACGAGGAAAGAATTCTTATTGGTTTCGTGACCCTATACATACTTACAAGCGTTTTATAATATGAAAAGTGACATTCCCATTTGCTCATTGCGTTTGCAAAACTCCCATTTGCAACTCCTGGGAGTGCAGTTCCTTACAGTTTTTCTTGCATAACGAGTTCGCATAGCTTGCTCATTGGATACTAAAGTATTTTAGTCTAGCTTTTTACAAATGGCATTTTTTTTAACAAATTTTCTAAAACATCTTTAAATTTTATGATTTTCTTCATTTTATATGAACTTGAAAATTTTAACTTTAATAATTCAAAGTTTCAGCTTTTTTAAGAAGTTTTAAGTCCTTTAATCTTTCTCAAACTTGTAAAACTTATGAAATGCTAAAAAATGAGGTAAGGGATAAAAGGTAAAACTGGAGATAGTATTTCAGGGTTAAAAATCATTTTAAGTTGAATCAATGAGCAAGACTGTTCAATGTGGCTGGAATAAAGGTGGGATACAGAAACAATTCTTACATTTCACTGCAAGCACGATTGTAAATTTAGGATTGAGACAGAATAAGAGAATTTCAAGAAAGATTGTAATCTCGGGCTGATCAATATTGATGCCGTATTTCTGCTGTTTCATTTAAAATTTATTTGCATTCATTCATTTATATTCATTTTATTTGCTGTTTCATACTCAATCCTGCTTACTAAGCACCATTAAAATCAAAATAACTTTAAATATTTAGGTAAACTGAGTAAATTTAAAAAAGAACACGATTTAAAAAAAGGAGCGTTTCTCCTTTATTGTCCATTTCTGCCCAGCTTATAATCTCAGTCCGAATATACTTTTCATTGCCAACGTGAGAAGAGAAATTACCTCGGTTTTCTGATCACGCATAAGATTTTCAGTATATTATAGATTGCAATACTATTTTGTTGCTAGAGAAAGTTAAGTTACCGGAAGAAAACATTTATATACTTTACGTAATTACATAAATGTTGCTGAATAACAAATAGATAAATTTACTTTGCAGAATAAGTGTGATAACCAAAAATTAGATTTGAAGGAAATCAAGGAATTTCTAAATGGTTCGTTAATGCAGAAAACGATTGAAAGTGCTTCAAAAAGAGTTGGATTCACCCTAACTAATGGTAAAGATAATTCACTTTATCCTATTGTGTGCTTTACTCTACACTTATTTTGTTTTATCAATGTTTATTTTCCTTCCTTTTATTTATTTTGTATCTAGATAATTAAAATACAATTATCAGTTGTTTTTATCACGTTGCAGTATTAAATAATTGAAAACAATATCATTATACACGAATATTCAATCTTTGATAAATTACAAAAATTTAGTTTAAGAAAATCTTTCCATTTCTTCTATGATACTAGTCAATGTTTTGTCAATGATTCAAATTTCACAACTAAAATGTTTATGTTAAGACATAGTTTTAAGGATTTTGTGCAAAATATACTAAATTTTGCTTTTTTAGCCGGTTTAGATATTTTATAACAGGAAATAAAATGTACAAAATACATATTTTTTTACCGTATTAAAATGTGACATTTATTTTATGTAGAGTGAATTAATAAAAATAAATAGTTCAGGATTTATTTAATATGTTTGTGAAACTTTGAAAATAAAATATGTTGACTGAATTCAAAATCTTTTGTGAGCCTAATTTTATTATGAAACTAAATTCTTAGTTTTGAATGCATACATAAATTAACACAATATTTTAATAATTGCTATATTTCTTCCATTCCTTAACTTTTATTTTTCACATTACATCGCTGAATTTCTACTGTATCTCCTTAAAGACATGTATTGGCTTCAAAAATCAGTTGGCAGATATTAAAAATGGTAGGTTGAACATCATTTGAGCTCATAGAATCGTAGCAAGAAAACCCTTACTCTTTGTGCCCAACCTCTATTAATGCACACTCTCTCCTTGCCTACCTAATATTTTCATACCTCTCTACCCTGAGTCAATAGCCCAGTGCAAGTAATTGTTGCTAATATGGTGAACCTTTAAATTTAACGGATCATTAAACTGAATGTTATGTGTGAATGTTCAGACAGTATCTGGCTATCAAACTGGTATTGTTGTTTTTAATCCTACTTTCCTATCATAATTCGCGAGACTTTTTTCATTAAATAATTAAATATTAATTTACAGCCCCCATTTAATATATATATATATATATANATATATACTATGGTCAAGCCCGAAGTCCGGCCAGTTCGTGAGGCGGCCACGAGGCTCCGGCCAAAACGAGATGTGCTCATTCAAGAATGCCCGGTAGGCGGCGCATCTGCAATTCTGAATAATTTTACTCTGCAATAATTTTACTTTACAGAAAAGAAAACTGTAGTGGTATGTTTTTTCACATACCGGATGGTACGGTGGGACCAAAATTTTTGAATATTTGTTTTATTAAAAAGTTAGTTTGCTAATATTGCCCCTTTTGTTTTCTTTTTTAATTTAAAAATATAAATTTTCTAATTTAAAAATATACAAAAATAGACAAGTTTTCAAACCAAAATTTAAAAAATTTAATTTTTTACTTTGTCTCAAACATCCACATCCCAACGCAGTTAGCTGCGGGTACCTAGTAATTTTTAAAGAGTTAAGTTATGGTTATACAGAGCCAATAATACGTGTCAAAAATTTTTCTTCAAACTTTGGCTGATCTTCCCCTGCCACTTCGCTATCTGGCCGGCTAATTCCTGAAATCAAGAAAAGATCGGACATTGGCCAGCCAATTTACAGCGTTCTTAGCCATTTCGCGATTTGGCCGGCCTATTCGCAATGTGCCCGAATTCGGGCTTTGGCCGTAACATATACATAAATATATATACACACAAGGCACACATTTCGAAATTTCGAATTGTTTATTAGCTTATTATTTTTAATCATCTAAATCTAAAGTCTTGAGGTAGGATTTTACATATTTAATAAATTTATAAACAATTCTGTGTTTGGTCAGTTTTGAAATTAAATATATTTTATTAATTTTTTTAGCTTTTCCTTGTTGATAAAAACTGCTTTTACATAATGTAACTGGAGTTGAACAGCAAACAGAATCTAGAACTTACGACTATTAATGTTTAACTCCGTAGTCTTGCAATTTTGAATCCTACCCAGAATTCAAGATAACTTTTGGATCAAGCATTGGGACAAACTAGACTTCGTGAACGACTTTTTTTATTGAACTAATCCCCATTTGCCTTACATGCTGATTAAAACCACGAAATTTTCCACTGTTAGTTCGAATGCATAGGGTGAACCCATGATCCGTCTGTTACTGAGGATATTTTACGTTAGCACTGTTGTCGGTGCGAGTCGGGAGCAGAATTCATATCAACGAGCAACCTCATTGGGAGGGGAGCTCTCTATCCTCCGAGCCACCGCGACTCTAGGAAAAGTATTAGAATAAATTATAAAACTAATAATACATTTTTTTCAAAATATTTCATAACGGAAATCGGGTTTTACATTTTGTCTCATCGAATAAATTACTTTTATTACTATTTTGGGGTACAATAAACTACATATTGCATTAATCATTATACGAAGACTTCTGACTCACTCTGGCTGAGGTGTACTCTCAACAATAGGTGTACTCTCTCATGCTATAATACCATGTTACGGTCTCAAAGGTCTCATGTTTAAACCCCGACGGTATCAAATAACCTCACTCCTCACCCGCACTCAATCAGTGCTGGTAAGCATGGACAACGAACACGCAATGGTAAATCAACGGTAAACGAATTTTATAGGTAAATCCCTAAATCTCACCCTCTCTCAAGGCTCAAACTGAAGATACATTTCAGGAGCATAACGTTTTAATTTTATAGTCATGATAGCTTTATAGATTTAATTTCATTTTAATGTATTTTTTCGGAACACTTTTTGCCAGGCACTGAGCAGGAAAATTGTTTCGAGTGCAGAAAATTTTAGATTGTAGTTATATTAAAACTGAGCACCGCGTCTCAGTTGCTGACGTTATTGGATTTTCTGTATGACAAAACTTTTAGATTAAATGATTTGTGCATCAGTTGGATCTGTAACAAATAAACCTTTTAGAAATGATGATTTTTTTCTACCAACGCAAAATTTTGACTGATAAAAATAGGCAGTTGAAAATAAAATACATAAATAACAATGCAATTAAAAAAATATTCATTTTATTCAGAGAAAAATACCCAATTGTACATTTTTAGTCATGAATATAGTTAAGTAAAGTCGATGCTATATGATTTGTATTAATTTCAAAATATATTTTTTTACATAAGTTTTCAAATTTCTCAGCTTATTTTGATTGATTCAAATTTTTCTTGGGTAAAATATATGCAAAAAATTTAGACTACTCTCGTTAAAAATGCGCTAGCTATTTCGGTAGATAATATTTTTCTAAACATTTTCAGCCGAAAGAAAGTTTTTTTTTACAAATACTGCATACGTGGCCTACACTGTAAAGGATTCCGGATTTAATTACGTTAAAAAGTATCGGTACTCAAATTGCATCATACCATAAAAATTATTTTTACCGGAGCATGCTGCGAGACAAAAAATCTGATATACCGTGCTGGAATAATTACCGTAAAATTTCTAAATCATTCTAATTGAATAAATATTACTGTAAAAATTGCGTAATAATATTTTAGGGTAAAAATGGATTTTTCGGTAAAATTGATTTTTCGGATGAGGTACCTAAGGGATGATGTACTTTATATCGCAATTTAATTAGAAATTTCTTACAGTGTATCATTCTCCAACTTTCTCTCTGTAAATTTAATGTACATGGATGAAAAATGAGTATATATAATTATTTATTATATATGTTTTTAGATGATATGATACATATGCACACGGCATGCAGTTTTGGTTATGCTCTCAACATCAGTGATGCATGGTGTGCTGTGTTTTCGCATGATGATTTGAAAGTTATGGAATATGGTGACGACATTCAATGGTATTATCGGAGATCTTACGGAAATGTGGTGAATTATCAGCAAGCTTGTCCAATTATAAAATATATTGTTGATTTATTCAAGTATGTCTTAGAAACATTTTTACTGTTTAATGATTTTTATATACCAAAAAAATTAATGTTGAAATATTGATATTGTGTATATATATATAT